CCCGACCCTTGGAAGCAGGGCTATTCTTTTTTTATGCGGATGAAGGGGCTCGTTTACTAGGATACCCAAACAATCAAGAATGTGTCATTTGTGTCCTAAACTATCCAATATGAAATTTGTGTCCTGACGTATGGTTGTTGTGTGTCATTTACGTCCTGACAATTTCGTTTACCGTTATAGATAACGGTTGACCAAACGGTCAACTATAAAATGTTGACCGTTGGTTACATGACACATATGTGGCAGCCATTTATGTACCAGATCAGCTGTCACATCGTGTTGTTATTATTTAAATTAAAATTAACAAATGTCATATTGGATACTTTAGGACACAAATGACATATTTTGAATATTTCGGGTTTCCTAGTGGTATTAGCCCTTATTTTAACCAATTTGGATCTACTTTATTTTCAACATTCTTTCCTCATTTTAGTGTATTCAAAGAAGCCACTAAAATTACAACATTAGCATTCTTCCAATAAAAGTTAATCATAAATGAAAATATCGTAACAATTGAATTTTCATCCTATTATATTACATTTGACAAATATTCAACTACAAGGGTGTCGGTAATAATTGAGTTGCGGTTATCAATTCATGAAGCAGAGCGAGAGCGCAGGAGTGCCTATTCTCAAACAATTATATATTTAGAGCATCGATAGAGTGTCCATAGTGTCTTATTTTAATTCAAATATTATTTAATATCAGGCCAAATTTTGGAAAAAGTTCTTCATAAATAAAGTAATTGGAAGATTTACCAAACTGACTTTAAAATAAAATAAATTATCATAAAAAATATTTTGAAAACTTATTTACATAAATATTGGGCTTGACAAATTTAAGTGTGCACAACTAGGCTGTTAATGAGTCGAGCTATTCGTGAGCGGCTCGGTCTCGAACTCGATAAAAGCTCGTTCGATTAAAAAAAAGCTCGGCTCGTTAATTAATGAGCCGAACTTGAGCTCTACTTTGTTCGGCTCGTGAAGCTCGTGAACTAACTCGATTAGGTGGCTCGTTAATACAACTCATGAATTGTCTCGTTTTGAGCTTATGAGATGTTCCAACATTGTGACTAGAGAGCCAACTCGACAACAGCTTATGAGAAAATCAATCTATATTTTATGAGTTGGTTTGTTAATGATGCATATAATGATTAAATTGTATATATCACCAGACACCTCATATGGTGTTTAATACATTGAGTATATGTAGGCAAATACGTCTCATATATGACATAACATTAGGTAATCACATGTATCACATATGACATATAAATATTAGGGTATTTATATTACAAATTATCTTAGAGTTGAGCTCGAGCCAAACTTCGATCTTAATGATGTGTCAAAATTTAATAAATGAGTTGGCTTGTGTTCGACTCGGCTCGTTTATAAATGAGTCGAACATGAACAAGGCAAAGCTCGATTCGAGTCATTAACAGCCCTATGCACAAATAAAAATTAGGTAAAATTGCAGTAGCTTAGCTTAGAATGGGCGTCCATTCGTCCACACATATGCTCTGCAAACTTAAAACGTTTAACTCGGTTTACACGGGTGAGGATAGCATAACAACACCCTTGATGTTGTTATTATAACAACAAAATTCATTAAGGGTAAATAAGTAAATTAACAAAAAATATCAAATTAAAATTAAACAAATAATCCTCAAACCCTAATCCGCTCCTCGTATCCAATTTCTTTCGTTCCTCCCCATCTCCCGCTGTTCCTTCTTTCTTCCACCGCCGGCGTCGCAAATCCTCTAATCCTTCTATGTTTCGGCGCCGATCAATCCCTGGATACGAGTGCCGAGGGAGGTCCTGGTCGGAGAGCGACTGCCTCGAGTGGTCCCGCAACCTCCTCTCCAAGCTCCATCGCGCACTACCGTGGTCTCAATCTCCTCTTGGTCGGTTTTCGATTTGTCTGATGGAAAAGAGAAGCACTTTAAGAACTTTGGTGTTCTTTTTGTTTTGTCTTCTTCCTTGTTGCTCGACAGACCTCCGAAGTTGAATGTGCCTAAATTTCTGCTCTTGGTCTGGTCTCTATCTATCGTCTCAAAAGAAAGAAAAATAGCTGCCTGCCTCGCATCTCTCCGCGTTTATGTTTTCTGGTGTTTGCCGAAATGGCAAAATGATGGATACATAATCTCAAGTCTTTCTATCGCTTTACCTCGTCCAAGTTAAGGTTTAAATTTTCGAGTAATTAACATACTGATGGATGAAAACAGGTGGAAAGGTTTTACGCAGAGCAATGCGAAGATTATAAGGAAGTTGGAGGCGAGTTTGCCATTTTTGATGGGTCTGTGACAGGGAACAATGTGGAGCTGCAGGCTGAAACTAATCGTGCAGAAGTGCAGAAGTTCACTCGAAAGGACACCTCTCCCTTCATCACCGATTTCCCTGCAGCTGATTCCATTCTCCCTTGCGAACTGGTTATTTTAAAACGAATTAGAGAGACAAGAATGAATTATATGTAAAAAAACATAATTAATTAAGAGAGAAATATGTAATTATGTATACAAACCTGGTAAGTATACACATTACTAAGTACTAATTATTGTTACTAATTCTATTCATCTAGTAGGAACATAGGATAGAATAACAAACCTCACAAAGCATACCACAATTATTTCGAAGGCATACCAGAAACCTCCTAATGCTGACCATAAATTGTCTAAAACATACCAGAAACACGGTAAAACAAACCAGAAATATTTCTAAAGCACACCAGAAACCCCCTAATACAAACCACAAACACGGTAAAACAAACCAAAAACGTCCTAATGCAGACCACAAATATATTAAAATAAACCAGAAACCTCGCAAAGCAAACCACAAAAGTTTCGAAAGCATACCAGAAACTTCTTAATGCAAACCAGAAACCTTCTAATGCAGACCACAAATCTCCTAAAACAAACCACAAACCTCACAAAGCAAACCACAACATTTGCGAAAGCACACCAGAAACCTCCTAATGCAAACCACAAACACAGTAAATCAAATCACAAAAAAGGAAACCATAAACGTCCTAATGCAAACCACAAATATATTAAAACAAACCAAAAACCTCACAATACAGACCACAAAGTTTTTGAAAGCAAACCAGAAACTTGTCAATGCAAACCACAAACACGATAAAGCAAACCGCAAAAGGCATACAAAAATATGAGAAACTAAACCATAAATCTCACAATGCTAACCATAACATTCGGTGATCGTTGACCGTTCAACGAAATGCGTTGACCGAACTCCGATGACCGTCAGTGAGCAGATTTCGACGCTGATAGGTATATTCCGGCCCCGATCACTAGATTCTGACGCTAATAAGCATATTCCGGTGACAAAAACATATTCCGGTGACAGGCGACCAAAATTTTTGGCCGAAAATAAATTTTTTATTTTTATTTTTTATTATTTAAAATCATTTTTCATAATTACAATTATACCCCTGATTTGATTTTACACTAAGTCAACTCATCAAATAAAAAATCATTACAACTCTAACTTCCTATTGATTGGAGACTAGCGTTGTCATAGTAACCGATACCGATTTACACGGCCGGGCCCAACGCATAGTAAGCCAAGAGGCCCACCCAAACCCCTCTTCTCTTTTCTTCCCTTCCCCCAAAAAGCTTTCCCCACCAAAATTCTCTTTTCCTACACTTGTTTTGTCGTATTTGGTAGAAACGTGGATGCTTTAATCAATTATATTCTTTCTGATTTCTTGCACATGAGCCCTGACACAAGTTTTAGGTGAGGTTTGCTAATTATGCGGGTTTGATTTGGGCCAATGTTTTTTCAAGTTTAATATAATTAACGCACGTTTATTGTTTTTTAAGGGTGTCGAATCCATGACATATTCACTCAGTGACATATTACGTACAACAAATTTGACGTATTCGTACAATATATTGTTTTTTTTTTTTCCATAGACTTGTTTATTTGTTTTGGTCTCTGTTTTCATAATTGAACGGGATGTTTAATAAAAAAATTAGTGGTTAACTGTTACAAAAAATTTAGTTAATCATTAATAGAACTATTCTTGATATATAAAACACAAAATTTGTATAATACACTAATTTAAAAGTGAAGTTATCATTGACCATAAACAATTTCAAATTCATATCATCACAAAAAATTTAACAAATTATTCAGATTGTCTCACAAAAGAAATCATATTTTTTAAAATTCAAGTTCAAAATTACTGTACAAGTCGGTAGTGAACCAAATAAAGTCGACAACGAAGTTGGAAAATGAGAAGAGAAAGTCGAAATAAAATTAATACTTCTGGTTTGATGGTCTTAGTTTAGGTTAAAGTATTTTATTTAAAAAAAATTATGATCAAAATAGTGAACCAGCGAACAAGTTAAATCGTGGTGGTTCATTTGATTTTATGTTGAACCGTGAAAATTCGTTTGGTCCATCAATAACCGTCCAAGTAATGAACCAGATCACTATCGTAACTGGTTTGACGATTCTACTTGACCAAGCATTAATCCAGTACGGTTCTTATAACAATGGTTTTGGTGTCGGTCACTTTCAAGGATGATTTCTCAGTCGAAGAATTCTTATGGTCTAGGATTGCTACGTTGCCTTGACATTCGACTATATGCTTCACACTTTTGGAATTTAGCATATTATAGTATAACTCTTAAATCCTTTGTTTAATCATAACAAAGAACCCTCAAGCATGTACAACTATTTCATTTGCTTTTGGTAAATTCTAGTGAAATATCATCGATGGTTGCATATCTGAATTACTTGTTTTTTGCGATGCTATAAGATGGTGTCTTACTCGTAATATGTTGAGTGTTACATTTTGTATGGATTCTCAATTAATCATTAACGATCCTATATCGAGTAAGTCTTTCCATCTCAGAGTCGAAGCCACTTTCAGGGAAAGCTCATTATTATTTTTTTTGTCCTTCATGTCTATTTCATTTTTTTTTTTTTTTTGTTATTGAAAGTTTTTACAAAACTGTCCACCTAATGACTAAACAGACTCTTTCACCGAAAATCGAATCGATGCATAAAGACTATAAATTTGTTTTGCTGGAGGAAGGAACGTCGCAGAACCCAATTCAAGTCGGCATACCTCGTAGTATACTTCTCGCCCTTCTTGTCACGAGGCTTGTCGTCGATTTCAAGAATTACGAGGACGAGCAATGCTCTAATAAGTTGCCGCTTAGCTTGCTCCTTTCTCGCTGACTGGATCCGCTCCCTCTCTCCGACGACAGCTCCAACACTGTCGACGACTCTGCTCAAAAGGTAATCCCATTCCCGTCGAGTCGAACATTTCCACTGACTCTTCCGATCTAATAATTTCTGTTCGGTTGACTGACGGCGACTAGGAACTCTCCGCATAATAACGGTTTCTGCGTCTGAAGTTTGTTTAAGTTTGTTTTAGCGAGCTTGCTGTGTCATGCATGATTTGCTATTTCTGGTGTATTTAATGAGCTGCTTTTAGACTTCTGAAATTGGGAACTTTATGAATAAAAAATTTCTGTTTAATTTTAATTAGTTACTTATAATTAAATTAGTTTTGGTTGTTGCTTATTTTTACCCGTTGACACATTTATTCAAAAATCTTGAAACTGCCACTTGATAAACCCAAAGTACTTTGTCTTTGTTAATTAAGGTTGATTTGTTTATGCTAATTCTTAGTCTCCTTTCATTTCGTGGTGATTAGTAGGTTATAAGTTGCAGAGAACATTATTCGTCCTGCCGCGCTTCAGTTAACGCATCAAATGTATCACCAGAGCACGTCCTTGGTTGAGGTGAGCTGAAGCATTCTCTATTTTTTTTTTTTTTTTAGAAAGCATTCTTGTCCTTGATTTTGTAGCTGAAGCATCCTCATTTTTTAGCAAATGATAAATGACTCATGCAAATAACTCTCAAATCTCAATTCCACTTATTCTGTTGCGCCGCCTTCAAAGTCACCTACTCACCTTCCAAAGAAAAGGAGTCCGGTCCATTTAATTCCTTTCTTCTTGCTTCCGTGTACTGCTTGCCAAAAGGAAAGGGCCAATGGCCCAAAGCCTAATTCCATTTGGGCCAAGGTCCAACCTAGAACAATCACATAGGATGGCAATGGGTCGGGTTGGGCGGGTTTTGTCAAACCCAAACCCAAACCAATGTGTTTATCCGCCAAAAATCCCCGGGGTAAAACCCGTTGGGTTTGAAAAACTCAAACTCAACCCAACCTGCTGGGTATCCGCGGGTTCATGGGTACCCGTGGGTTTTTGTGGTAAAAAATTTACAATAACAAGTTTCTTTCAAAATAAAAGTTTAACATCAATTTTCTCATACAAAAAACACCAATCTAGAGCATACAAGCAAACCGCAAATGATCAATACAAATTGTTCAAAATTAAAGATAAACATCTATAAACAATAAGATTAATTGAAAGTTTCTTCCTCGTCAACTAAGTTTCTTCACTCTCCACCTCATAATATCAACTTCATTCTAAACAATTAGAAAGAACAAATTATACATGTCTCCACAAACATAAAGAATATTAATTATTTAAGGAAGATATATTATTTAGAATATTAAATATGCCGGGAAAGTAATTATATGTGTGTGAGCGGGTACCCATGGGGCGGGTTTACCTAAACCCAAACCCAACCCGACCCGGTGAATAGTGTAGCGGGTTTAAACCTAAACCCGGCCCAAAACCCATCAACACAGGTTTTACCCGCGTTGACCGGGTTGGGTCGGGTGAGTACCCATGAGTTCGGGTTTTGTTGCCTATCCCTACAATCACACCACTGCTGGTCATCTGCGGCTGAGTTAGTCGGCCCAAATTGGGTTGATTTGGACCAGCTCCTGAATTGATTTTGGTTCATGCTTAAAATTGGCACAAAGCCACAAACTAACCACACTGCATGCCGATGAATTGTGATCACCTTTAGCAATCTTCAGCTCTTAACAATTTGCAGTTCTTGCAATGCCCGTGAATGATTTTCTTGCAGGAACAACTTGATCCTTTTTCACTCGTTGCTGATGAGTTATCGCTTCTTGCCAAAAAGTTGCGGGAAATGGTAGTTGCTGAGGTACTTAAATTGTCTTTGCTCTTAAATCTTACTTTGCTTTTAGACTCAAGTTGTGCGATGCAGAATTCCAGTTCGGGCCTGATGATTGATCTCCTTCTTTCCAGGTTCCCAAGCTCGCATCAGCTGCTGAATACTTCTTTAAAATTGGAGTGGAAGGGAAGAGGTTCCGCCCAACGGTAAACTAAAATATTGTTCCACAGTTAGTTTTGTATCTCTTTTCAGATTCTACTGAGTAGGCCTATGCCATTCTGTTATGCCAGCTTGTGTTTACTGATAGGAGGGTTTAAACTCTAATGCATGCAGGTGTTGTTGCTGATGGCAACAGCTCTAAATGTGCACCTACCTGAACCTATACCTAATGGTGGTGCTCCCATGGCTGCAGAGCTACGTGCAAGACAGCAACTTTTAGCACAGATCACAGAGATGATTCATGTGTGCTTTCTTGCTTTAGCAGTTACCATCAGTTAATTTTGGTGGACTTGCCACGCTACGACGATGACTAAACTAGTTTCGCGTATTAGGTAGCAAGTCTTCTCCATGACGATGTTTTGGATGATGCAGACACGAGACGTGGTATCGATTCGTTAAACTTTGTTATGGGCAACAAGGTACTTCCTTTCTTGTACCATGTAAGATACAGTCTGATCTGCCAATCTAACAACTAGAGGCAGTTTCAATTGAGAGTAGGAAAACCATGGATGCGTCCTACTACTGTCTTCCATTGCATTCTGCAGGTATCAGTCCTAGCTGGAGATTTCCTACTTTCAAGGGCTTGTGTAGCACTAGCTTCTTTGGGGAACCCTGAGGTATCTTTGTGCAGGGGCGGAGCTACATGAGGCCTCGGGGGGGCCCCGGCCCCCCCGAGAATCTCCAAAGTTATGTTTAAATGGTTCGGTATAATACGTATAAACTAGAGATTTATTATTAAATAATAGCGTTGCAAAATGAGGACATGAATTTCTACTTAGCCCAGCGGAAAGGCGCATGTCATTATAATAAATGGTTCCTGGTTCGATCCAACTTCGAGGCCAGCCTGGAACACCATTTTTTCCTTTTGTTTTCATTTCAATGAACAAATCAATTTAATTATTAAGCTTTTTTCCTTTTGTTTTCATTTCAATGAACAAATCAATTTAATTATTAAGCTTTCATATAAATGTTCATCCATTGAGTACCTTCGGATATATTATGAATAATTTGTGTTTAAGAAGAATATTGATAGACATTTCAATGAACAAATCAATTTAATTATTAAGCTTTCATATAAATGTTCATTAATTCCTTAATTTCAAACTAGATCAATTAAATGATTTCATTTCAATGGTACCTTCGGATATATTATGAATAATTTGTGTTTAAGAAGAATATTGATAGACATTCGTTTTTTGTACGTAAAAAGAATGTTTCACTCTATATTGAAATGCATTATCAAAATTGTATATTTTTTGTGATTTAAATTGAATTTAATGAATTTTTTTTTGTTCGGTTAGTTTTTTTACCTTTTGATAACGTATTAAAAAAAATTTCGGCCCCCCCGATGATCAAATCCTGGCTCCGCCCCTGTCTTTGTGCTGTAATTTCCCTGACATTCCAGTCCAAAGCAAGTGTAGATTTCTACCTTTGAAGAGCTGCTTATCTCTTTGCCGTTTTCTCACTCTGGCCCAAATGCATAACTATAGGTCGTTTCACTAGTGGCGAAAGCTTTGGAGCATCTTGTAACTGGTGAGACCATGCAGATGACTACTACCACTGAGCAACGTTGTAGGTGTGTTGCTGACATCTTTGATGATTCCTTGAGTCGGGATTTCCTCCCGGGTTATATGTTTTGTTTAAATTTGTCTAAGAACATGTTCTTTGTGCAGCATGGAATATTATATGCAAAAGACTTACTACAAGACTGCGTCTCTGATTTCCAGTAGCTGCAAGGCAGTTGCTCTTCTTGCTGGGCAAACTGGTGAAGTGGCAACACTGGCTTTTGAGTATGGAAGAAATCTGGTTTGTAGTCCCCCTCCATAACATGTCTTATGTTGCATAATCTGATGAAGAACTGCTGTATGGTGATGGCTTTCGAAAGTTCATTTCCTGTAGGATCTGACATTTCAATGTCTTTGGAATGTGATTCTGCTGTTAAATTGTTGGTGCAAGAGTAATGGTTTATAATCCAAAATGGTTTTAATGCTGTCAATGAGTAAAATGACTTCTGACTACATGAATTCATTGTCTATGGATCTTTCTGTACGTGGTGTGCTTCCAATGCCACTGGTTCTTTTAGAACTTCTTTTCTGTTCTCTAAATTGATGCTGATAACAGTCCCATCTTTTTGCCAGGGTATGGCGTTTCAGTTGATAGACGATGTTCTTGATTTCACTGGCACGTCTGCTTCACTTGGAAAAGGATCACTGTCAGACATACGCCATGTAATTTATCCAAAAACCCTTGGTGTGAATATTTGAATGCGCCTTCCATTGATATAAACTGCAGCCAGCTCCAATGGCCTGGTGTTGCAAGTTTTTCTATTCACTTTGCTCAAACACCTTTTGTAGGGAATAGTAACTGCTCCGATACTATTTGCCATGGAGGAGTTTCCCCAGCTGCGTGCAATTATTGATCAAGGATTCAAGGATCCCAAGAATGTGAACCTTGTAAGTTGGGCATGGATGAGATTTCAGTATTCTTTTCTTCGTCTTGTTTCTTTCAGGGCATTCTGATCCATTGTGTTCTGCATTGGTCTTTGAAATATTACAGGCACTTGAATACCTTGGAAAGAGCCATGGAATACAAAGGACAAGAGAGCTTGCAGCACAACATGCTAGCCTTGCTGCAGAAGCTATTGATTCTTTACCAGAAACTATTGATGAGGATGTGCAGAGGTCGAAGCGAGCTTTGATAGACATCACACAACGAGTAATCACCAGGAACAAGTAACAAGAAAGGCCCACACCTGAGTCCTTGCTTGGCATAATGAACTGCACAATATTTTTGCAGTAATTTTGTTCCAGTGTTCCTATAATTCGAGAGAAAATTAGTTCCCCCTCTCATTAATCTAATTGCTTTAAGGGTGGGGCGGACCAATGCTGTCTAGATCAGTATAAATTCTGCTCCAAATCAATCCCAGATTAGCTGCAGTGAAGTTGATTGTTTTCTAGTTTTTGTGCTGTTATAATCAAGTTGCCTATCGGCCTGGTCAATGATTTTTCTTCTATATACTACATGGTAGCTCGATTTATTTCCAGTGAACCTCGAACTTGAGAGCGGAGATATGAGTGGGCAAACACTCCGGTCACGAAAGGGAAGAGGTCTGAGAGTTCATAGCATTCACCTGCATATTCAGCTTGTGCAGTTCAAGTAGTCCTGGCGAGTCTAGTTTATCATGATTTCGAAGAAGCTGCAATTCTCAACATGCAACACTAGTAATCTTATAGAATATGGTCAAAGCAACCAGCGAAACTTATGTTTATCAAATGCATCTTACAGTCGAAAGTAACAAACAGGAGGAGCAAATAACCAGATTAAACAAACAAACATACACGTAAGATTTATTCAGCAAAATATATATGTATCTCTTCCGCTCTGAATGATCTCGGCGCAATCACCACCAAAAGGAAGCAGCATGTTCGTGGCAGCAGCCCCGAATCCTAAGGAAAGAAGCAATAAATTAAAACTAACTTGCATCCCAGCTCAAAAGATTATATCCTCGTCCTTTGCGCCAGCAGCCAACATGTTCTGAGCCGAAGCCATCGAAATGCCTTTACTCAAGGACAGCTTCTCAGCAATTTGATCCTCAGCAAACCCAATTGCAGAAGCTCTCTGCCTCTCGATCTCCCTCTTCTTATAACCTTGAATCTTCTTCAGCCTGAAGAAATCTTCTCTCTCAAGCTCGTCCAACTCCCCCTTGATGTAAGTGATTGTGTTCTCAATTCTTGGCTTCACAACATTCTCCAATGCATTAACCCTTCGATTTGTCGTCTTGATTGCCTCATCAAGCGTCAAGAACGAAGTCTGAAGCGAAGCCAGCTCGACAAGAACCTCAATTGCTTTCACATAAGCAACACGGCACTTCTGTACCTGCTGCCCGCCTCTGGCCAAACCAGTTAGGTCATTACTCTTGGTATCTCCTTCAGAGAAATACTCAAACTTGGGAAGCTTAACTCCAGCGACATTGTCTTGGCGAGATCGGACTTTAACAGATGCAGTTTGGACGCTTTCCAGGACGACGTGTTTGATATTCTCCCCCGCAACATATTTTGCCTCAGTTAGGGCAAAGGAGGAATTCTTCATGATGTCTCCCATGGCCTCTTTGGTCGATACAATATTCTTGAGTATTGCCCGGAACTGCACAGTTAGAGCATCACTCTTCTTCTTGAGAAGAGCATGGCCTCTTGTGGCACCGACGAGGCGAGCTTTCATCACTGCAAGCATGGTTACTGTAGGGACCACAGTCAAGCGCTGGCCTTGGCCTGCCATCTTTCAGTAAAATCTGAAACTAGAATGTAGAAAACGGTCTCAGCATAAAACTTAAGAAAGAAGGAAACTGCGAAAAAATAAAAACAAATAAATTGAACAATGCTTATATGCCCCTTTTAGGGATGGCATGGCATATAAAGAACCTGAATGCATCTCATATTTTTGCCCATGTAGTTTAAGGTGCCATTTATCCCTGCTTCATAACAGGTCCTAACTCGAAGTAGAAATGACCAAAGCACTGGTATCCCATTTACAGACAATTATCCACTTCCATGGAGATATCTAAATGATATGTGAGGCTTTACTGAATCACCCAGGTCACTCAGCAGGCAAACAATGTGTTCTGGTAGCAGATCCCACAGAGAAAAGGAAGCCTATACAACATATATTTCCGCTCAATGAAGTTGCAACAAACAATATGCTTTGTAAACAATGAATCCCTTCTGACCAGGGAGGCTAAATTCAGTTGAAATTACAGTAGTAGCTACCAATCTCAGCAATTCGATCTTTCACCATCTGAACGTGTTATGTGGTTGAAATTACAGTGGCATGGTACAGAGAATCCCAGCACTCGAATATTGCTTATTCCAATCGAGTTCATTTAACGCTTCCACCTCTTTCTAAGAACGTGCTACCTCAGCCCTCAAAAAGAATTCATCCCTAACAAAGAAGAAAGACCTAAATCGTCGACATTCTTCGTCATATATGAAAACCAGAGCCAGAAAAGCAGAAAGTTTAAGATAATGGACTTAAGCGAACAAAAATTCTGCTACAATAAGTAATCAGGAGACATATTGAGAGTGATCCTAGGACTCGAGGATCCATTACGGCATTCTTGTTGAAATCATTTAGCTTGGGGAGGGAACAGAAATCAGAAACTGAAAGGCAGACGATCTCAGGAGAATCAAAAGAGCGATAGGGAGAGAGAGTTGCCAACCTGAGGACAAGATAGATGAAGGGTGGAGTGTGATCGCCGGTGAAGATCGTGATGGGTGGCACTACGGAAGAGAGCGAGATCGGAGGTTCACAGACACTCGGACGGACAGATAGACAAGGAAGGAGAGAGCGAGAGAGCAAAGAGAAAGCGGAAGACCAGAGAAGAAAATCGTAATTATTGAATCTGATTGGGAGTTAGGAGTTAGGAGTTAGGACCCGTTGATACGAACTTGGGCTCAGGGCCATTAGTCGAATACTTTCACGGGCTGAAGAATGGGCTGGCTCGGCCCGGCCTGTTGGTCGCTTGGGGATAGGGATGACAATATTACCCATACCCATGTGTATTTTATTATCCAACCCAATTGGGTTGGGTATGGAATCCAAATAGATGTTAGATGGATAGAGTTTGATGGGTTTGTACCCATACTCATTTACTTGGGTTGGGTTGGGTTTTTAACATATGGATTTGGGTTTGTATCCATACCCAAATGCAAATTACAGTTTGGTATCTAAATTTAATAGTTATACATATTTAGTACCTATTTTTTTTTGCATATAAGTCCTCAAAATATCGATGAAAAATTACATTTTAGTACCTAAAATTTTTTGGTATCACATTTTGGTGCCTAAACTTTTCAAGTTTTACAAATAGGTCCAATTTTTGTATGTGTAGTTAAAACACCCTCAAGTAAATGGATATCCATATCCAACCCATACCCATTTAGATAATATCCATATCTAACCCAAACCCATATACAAACCCCAAACCCATACACACATCACCCAAACCCTACCCATAATAAATGGGTTTACTTGGGTTTGGGCAAAATTACCCATGGGTGGGTAAATTGCCATCCCTGCTTGGGGAGGGAAATTTCTCGTTGAAGAAATATAGCCACGAGACCTCTCTACTTCCCATTGTTATAAAAACCGAACCGGATCAATGGTCGGGCTTGTAGAACCTTCAAATCAGTTAGGATAGCGGTTCGTTTCATTGTTTGGACGGTTATTGATAGACCAAACGGTTTTTCATGGTTCAACATAAAATTAGATGAACCCTGACGATTTAACTGGTCTATCGATTCACTATTTTAATAAAAAAAATCTAATAGTTTAATATAAACTAATACCATCAAACCATAATTATTAAGTTATATATGCTTACTCTTCTCATTCCAACTTTGTTGTCAACTTTACATTGTCAACTACCGACTGACACCGTAATTTTAAATTTGAATTAAAAAAAAATATGATTTCTTAATGGTTTGAATGATTTATCCGATATTTTAGTGATGATATGAATTTGAAATTGTTTATGTTTAATAATAAATGCATTATTAAATTAGTGTAATATACAACTTTTATATATTATACATCATGAACGGTTTTATCGATGGTTCACCAACAGTTTTATAACAATTAACCATTGAACGCTAAACTACTAACTTTTTCGGTTCAACCTCCGATTATATTCTGAAAACCAGATACGGATTTCAAAGCTTGAAACGTGTATAGCGAGTAAATCAGTTTCCACTTGGTGACTGTCCCTACAATTATGCTCAAGCAGCCCTGTCCATATAGATTTGTTCGACTCGTTGTAGCGTTTAGGGATGGCAAAAATATTCGTAACCGTGGATATCCGCCCGAATCCGGCCTAGTCTGATAGGGTAAAACTCGAACTCGAAGGATATTTAGTGGGTACGGGTAAAACCCGAACCCGAATATTGAGGGTAACGGGTGGGCATGGATTTCTCACTATCCGACCCGAACCCGCCCGATTATACACATGCATATGTATTTTGTCTAGAAATAATCATTATTTTTCTCTAACATAATTTATATTTAGCATATAAATATAACATTTTCATGAAATTGTGTTGTTTTAGTTAATTTTCTTCATTATAGTGAATTCTTGTCGTACTTTTTCTCTTACTTAATATAAGAATACGTGTGAATGTTAACATATTGGTTGGAGTTATGAAGAGAAATTAATATCCATGGATAACCGTGGATACCCGAAACCCGAATGGGTATGAGCATGGTTTTGATTTTCTACCCGTTTCACATGTGAGTATGGGTATGGGTAAAACCCGAAGTACTTTGGGTAGGGTAACGGATATGCATTGTCCGCCCCCGACCCGACCCATTGCCATCCCTGGTAGCGTTGCCTTTTTGATCGATTTTGTGATCGGAAATTGATGTTGTACTCTATCTACCAAACGAATATCGTATCATTATTCTAAACGTTACATATCACTTACAGTTCTCGTCTCTATACACACTTGCCTAGCTAGCTTCTCATCACCTCCAAAAACCAGACAGCCAAGCCAACCAAGCCCCACCACCTATATATGAATTTGAATCCAAGACAAAAGCCCTTGGCGGCTGCTTGCTTCTAGCAGTAATCCAAGCAACACAATATACTCATCATAAACATGGTTGCTTCTCACTTCTCACTTCACTGGGTTGTTGAAAAGCAGATCCTGGGAAATGAATGCAGCCCACGCATCCTGTTTCATCCAACCATGAATTCCATCAGTTTCAGGAGTATTTCACCATTCGAAATTTAACATGGAAACTGATGCAGTAAGCAAGCTTTGTTAGTGTCTGTAGTAATTAAAGTACCTGGAGGATTGCGAAGGCTTGCTCGGCGACGTACTTGTGATGCTGCGTGGCTCCTCTCTGTTGGAGCTTGTCAGGGTGAAGACACAGCCTTGCTCTCTGATAAGCCTTCTTCACCTGCGAGCTCGTGATTATGCTCGTCAATGGGATCGCACTCCACCCGCTCCCTGGTTCTAGTATCTGCATTCCCCACACCCCCCCATCAAGCAACTTTCATTCATTTATCCATTTCTGTAAATAGCAATGATTTGAATTCAGAGAGTTTATAGCGGAAGTACATGATGCAGCGAGGATAGCAGTAGACGGATGTTGTTTTGCTTTCCTGACGACCACAGTCGTATCTCTTCCTTCAACTCCTCTATCTCCCTCTGCAACAACAACCACCACCACCACCAAGACTCAGATCGGAAGGACTAAAATCCGAATTCGGTGAAAACTGCTGTATCTTGTTACTGAAACAACGAAAAGGGGGTTTACATCGAGTACTTACATCTCTTTCCGACTCTGATTTCTCCTCTTCTGTTGTGGTTACCCATTTGTCACCCCCATCAGCTTCTTCCTACAAAAATGATCAGCAACAAGATATGCCATCAGTAGTGTGACAATTGGTATGACCATTTGAAATGAAACGTTGCAGCTCTTCCATTGTTTCTCTAATGGAGAACTCACCATAGAAGAAGACTGGTGGAATTCAGCATCTTTGAGTGCTTCTTTCTCAGTGTGTGCCCGGAACTTCTCCTTAGCCCAAGCAATGGCTTCATCGATCGACACCGCTTCGCCATCCCTGTTGTTATAATCGCAGTTATTGATCTCGATCACATAAGAGTTACTCATAACCTCTTCCTCTTCCTCTTCCTCTTCCTCGTCGTCATCAATTTCTCGCATTACATCATTGTGGTACTGTTCATCACAGGGAGTACAGCTGCATGCGGGCTCTGGATCGAGCTGGCAGAGAACAGAGGAGGCAGCAGGGGAAACAGGGGAGTTGTTGTTCATCTCCTCCAATTCCACGTCATCATCGTCATCGTCATTATCATCCCCGGAACCTCTGCAGGTTGTGCTCCAGTAGGAAGTATTGGGCTCCACCGTCGTCGTCTCCGGCGAAGAATTAAACTGCTGCTGCTGCTGCTGTGCTTTGAAATAGTTCTCCACGCAGGATTTCAGATTCGCGTGGAGTTGTTGCTTCTCCATGAAGCTGTCATCTGCCGCGGTGGCGGCGGCGTAGGAAGGACGGTTGTACGGGAAAGATGGTGCCTCTTGTTTGTTGGTCTGTAGTTGTTCTTCTCCGGCTGGCTTCATTGTTGTCGAATTCCACCGGGCTGGCACGTTGATCGACCTGCTAGTCCACACAAACCCACCAGCCAACAGGGTTCAGCCACGTCAGCGTCAAAATTGATATATTTGACATGTATCCATACAAAATTTTGATTTGACTGATTGTTATCTTCAAAATTCATCATTGATCTGATTTGATAGTTAAAAGGTACTAGAGCACATGAAAAATGGACGGAAGGACACAGATATTTAGTTGATTTGATAATAAGATAAATGCTACATTTGGTCTGTCGCTGAAATTATTAACCCGTGTCATGTTTAATCATTAGAAAAATTTAATATCAATTTTGGTTACTCGAATTACTGAAACAAGTCACATTTAGTCACTCTCCCGTCAGTTTCCGTCCAACTACATTAGTTTCTGTCCAACTCCATTATTAATGGAGTTGGATGGAAACTAACGGGAGAGTGACTAAAGGTGACATGTTTCAGTAATTCCAGTGACTAAATGTGACACGTTTCAGTAATTCGAGTGACCGGAGTTGGACGGAGGCTAACGAGAGAGTGACTAAACGTGACATGTTTCGGTAATTCGAGTGACCTAAATTGATATTAAATTTTTATTGTGACTAAATATGACACGATTTAGTAATCTCGGTAACCAAATGTGGCATTTGCCCTTTATGAGAGCGACATTGGTTTAATTTTTGTTGTTATACACTAGCTAGGAGATTTGGAATTGGGGCTACCAGTTGCAAGATAGATCCAAATATTAGGAAAAAGAAAACGATCTTTTCTGTATGTTGAAAAAAATATAGACACAAAATAGTATTATTTTCTCCCCATTTCTAATGACTGAATTTGCAATTCTTGCCTTAGTGGTAGGGGTGAGCAGCGATCTAGATCACATCAGACCGAATTGGATGGAATATATTTTGATTCGGTTTTTGTCCTATGAAGTATTTTATATATGAAGAAGAAATGGACCGACATTGAATTTTGACTTAATCAAATTGAACCAAACATACTTTTGATCCGATTCTGATAATCATTTTCCTTTGTTTTTAGTCCAGTCCTAAATCAATTCTATCCAGTTATGTACAGAATCAACTGATGCCCACAGTACATAGTGGAATTGAGGTGAAAAAGGACCCGAGAAATTGTACATTTTGTTCATCAAATCATAAAATCTTAAAGTTCTCGTAGTGGCTGAAATTTAACAACTAATTCCGCCATTCAATTCCTTAGTACAGTAATTTATTAAAAAAATCCAGTAATTTTTTTCTTCATATATTCAAGCATAGACTACTAAATTAATTAAATTTTCTGATCTGTCTTCATAAAAAAACATTTGATAAGGACAAATAAATATTAATACAGGCAAACCAAACTAATCAAGTGAAACAGTAAAGTTGTTGTGCTGACCTCAGCTTCGAAGCGAAAGACGACAACGCGGGGTCGTGACCGCCGGAGACATTCGGCCGGCGAGGGCTGAGCTCTTCGGAGCTGAGAACGGACGAAGAATTCGACTTGGATTTCCCCTTGGAGTTGGGCCTGGACCGCTCCCTCGACGCCCGGCCGTCCTCCTCCGCCCCGAAAACGTCGCTGTAGAACCCCTCCCCCTTCGCCGGGATCCGGAACGCCGGCAGGCACCTGCCGCCGTTCTTGCTCGCGGCGGCGGGTGGGCACGCGAAGCTCGGCGGTCGGAAGACCTCCTCGTAGAACGAGCCGGACGGCCTGTTGAGGTCGCCGGAGAATTTCCTGGCGAGAAGGCTCCTGGGCGGGCCGCCGAACACGTCGGCGAAGTTGTTAGGGTCGAGACGGTGGTTGTCGACGGATCGCCTGGTGGGTCCGGCGACGGCGGGGGAGGAGGAGGATGTTTCGGTGGAACGGCGGTGGTGGAGGAGGGGCGGCCCCGGCGCCGTCCCCATCCGCATCTGCCAGGAATCGTCCATTATTTTCCACATTAGGAGCAGAGGAGGAGGAGAATGATGAGGGAGAAGAAGAGGGAAAATTAAAGTCGGGGAGGGGATCTTCTTTTCGGTGGAGGACGAAAAAGGTAGTAGCCCTTTTTCTTTGCTTAGCTGCCAAAAATCATGGAAGAAAGCTAATCAAGAAAAAAAAAAGTTGTGAGCGTGGTGGTGGTAGCAAGTAGTGGGGAGTGTGGGGGCTTTGCTTTGTCGTGAAGATGCTTTGAGGATGATGATGAAGAGGGAGGGAATGTATATATGGCAGAATGATCACCAAAAGTTGGGCACACCCTGCCTCCATTATAAACAACCCTACTCCAAAGAGCCGCGTCAACCCTCAACATAGCTCAAATCAATCCAACGATACCACGGTTATTATTTGGGGTTGAACCTAACGGTCTAAGGGTTCGACCGGAATGTGTCTTCGTATATCAGTGCAACTTAAAGTTGATTTTGGTAACGGATAATTTTATTAGGTTGATTGAGCCGATCAAATTAGCCATACATTCATGAACCAGTAGACTAAAATCGCACGAAAAAGGGGATGGAATGCGGTCACAACCACCGAAAGGGGTTGTGAGATTGACAACTCACTTTCTAGCCAATGAATATCCTCTCTCCAGTCTTTTTTTTTCAAATTGATGATTAGGATTAAAAGAAGGATATTTTTGGAAGGGAAAAATATTATCACACTCAATCATTCTCCCTCCCATATAAAAAAACCTAATTCCTCCATCCTCCCTCTCTCCAGCAGACGGTAGGGATGTCAATCCAACCCGTAACCATGGGTACCCTACCCGACCGTAACCGATCAACGAGGGTAATTACCCGCTTTGACGGGTTAAGGGGCGGGTACGGGTAATACCCGGTTTCAAAATAAAGGGTAGGGTACGGGTATGGTAATCGATAATACCCGCCCCGTTATACCCGCCCCGCTAACCAAAGGGTCAATTTCCCTTGAGAAATTGAGTTTAGCTACCATTATTGATGATGAATATGTTGACGATTATTATGTTTGTGTGGATTGTAGAAGCAAGAACAATTATTATGTGTTTGTTGTTTTTATTTGTGTGGATTGTTGAAGCTAGAACAGTTACAACTTACAAGTATTGAGAATTTTTAATGGACAACAGTATATATGTGCATATATGTGTATAAGTTCATAGTTTAGGATTCGTACTCATGGTTACCCGAATACCCGTGGTTACCCGGTGGGTAGGGTATGGTTATATCATTTTCATACCCGGTGGTTATTTGGTCGGGTATTTTAGAAAGCTCTACCCGGCGGGTTAGGAGTTGGTATAGGGTAAACCCGCACCCGACCCTACCCATTGCCATCCCTAGCAGACGGCACTGCCGCCACCGCCCTCTGCATCCCTCCACCACTGTCGATCACTCCACCGTTGCCGCCTCCGCAATCCTCCGCCTCCCTCCACCCCTACCGTTACCAACTCTCTATCGTCGCCCTCCTCTGTCGCCGCCGTCGTGCCTCCTCTCCTTGCCTCTTCCGATGTGAGTCCCTCTGTCACTATAATCTTCCTCTCCTCCCCTTCGTTTTACAGATATGTGATTTTTGGATTTTCATATATGATTTTTTTTTTCTATTGGTAGTGATTTTCTTCTAGTAGTGGTATCATTTGGTACCTGGTAGTGGTACGTTACCACTACCAGGTACCAAATGATACCACTACTAGAAGAAAATCACTACCAATAGAAAAAAAAAATCATATATGAAAATCCAAAAATCACATATCTGTAAAACGAAGGGCCACTACCAGGTACCAAATGATAGTGGATTAGTAGTACGTTGTCACTATCAACTACCAGATGGTAGTGGTAGCGATGTACTGGTAGTGGTACCAGTGGTAGTAGTAGTGTACCACTAGTGCACTCACGGAGTGGTAATTTTTTGCAGGTGACCAAAGCAAGTCTGATTCAAGGATTTGCCGGAAAAAGTCAATCGTCGGAAAGTCAGTTGGTCGAAGTGGAGTGACTGCTGAAAAAGGAAGAAAGAGATAGGAAGAGAGAGTTGTATTTAACTATTTCTTGTAGGATTTAAATTTAAAAAAAGCATGTATTTAAATTGGATTTTTAATTCCCAATCAGCAATTAATATAAAAAAGTTAATTAATAAATTTATTTTTCTCATACCTAAAATATTTTTGATTGTGTCTATAAAAAAAATATATTTTTTATTGTAAATCTCACAACCCCTTAGTGGTAGTATCCGTATCCCACCCCTGTAAAAGGTCCATAACTAGGAAGCCAAAAATAGAACATTATGTGAAAGAACAAGTGATACAATCTAGATAATAAATAAAAGCCGAATAATGAAAACTGTTGCAACATTTCAAATTTCCTGCAACGAGAGTGATTATAGGAAGGACATTTTGGTCTTCACAATTGCTTATTTTCTTATTTATTTATTCATAAAAAAGACATGCACTGGGATTTGAACCTTGGTCTCTTTAAAGGCAAGCAAGGATCATAACCAATCACACTAAGTATATTTGTTGTATCTATTTAAATTCAAACATACACGAATCTAAATTATGAAAATCATATGACTTTTTTAAAGATTAGTTGGCCACTGAATCTCCCGTAAGTACTTATTTGGTGTTTTAATACTTTGAATATTTTAGTTGTAGTTTAATACTTAATTTAAATTTCTATCTATTTTATAAATATACAATAACCCTAAAATTGCAGCCCAAATATCACTGGTTCGAATATTGCATATCGAATTGCAATATTAAACATGTAGAAGCAATATCGACTTCTTAAATTAATATTATTTTTCAGAATTACTATGGAGAAATTATATCTTTGTGCAAACTATATGAGACTGGTTCTTTTAATGTTTTAGTCGGGATAACCGCTACATTTTAAACTTCTTCATAATCTGGCATGATTGGATCCAATGATCATTATACAAGATTGTGTTTAATAGGGTGGCTCATTTCACCACTTTTTGGCGTGTTAATGAATTTGTAGGACAATGACAGGTCTACATCTACACTCATCACAATCTACACATCATATAAATGTGAAATGTGAAATGTGAAATGAGAAAAGAGGGATTCCATTTCAAATTTGATGCGTACAGAGCAATTTTTTAGGGGTAAATTTAGAAGATGCCAGTGCGGTCGGTCTGTTGAGCACGAAAGTAAAAATATGTTTTCATTTAAACGGGCCCAAACTGTTATTTGGCCCACTAATCGTGCACCCATCGCCAATGCAGTCAAATCCGGGATTTTGATCGTAAAATCGTAGGATTTTACTTGGGGATTCCGATCTTGACTTTACTATAAAATCGGTGGACCTTAAAATCGTTTAAAATCAGGACTAAAATCGTTAAAATTGTAAAATAGTACAGAAATCGGGATTTTGATCGTAAGAGAACAAAATAGGTGGTTTGAGCCAATTTAAAATAAGTATAACTGTTTCAGCGGAAAGGGCAATGGAATCTTCTCAGATATTTTTCTATTAGAAAAATATTCAAAAATAATAAAAATAACCAAATTAGGGTTCGGTTAATCTCTTTCCCTTCACCCCATTTAACTTATTGGTAAAACACATGTCCTAATATTGAAAGTATGTAAGAACTAACATCATTATTAACTAATTAATTTATTAATGAATATATTTGTACCAAGCCACTAACATTACTTATTTTATTGGAGTTCAATTATTTTTAGTTTTAAATCATACTTAGTAGACGATGTCGAAATATTACTTTGAGTTAAACAACCTAGACATAACATGAAAATAAGAGCCAAACCCATGAACTATATCCCTTCATCATGAATTATTTTGAGTTACACATTAAATAACAATTAAAATAGTGATTTTGGAACATTAATCTTGAGAATTATCTTATGGAAAAAAAATCTTCTGAATTATCATTTTAAATGCTATGTGTCTTTGTGATATTAATAATTTACCTTATTAATATTCTTATATGCTATGTTCTATATGGTACTTAAAATCCTACGATTTTACGATTCGATTATACGATTTTGATTTTACCCCAGTTTTCGATTTTAGGTAAAATCTCGATTTTAACTGCTTTGCCCATCGCAGCCTCTCCAAATCTTCCTATTCTACTCGCCGGGTCATCTCCTCCACTATAAAATATCTCCTCATGTACTCAAAGTTCTCACTGAAACCTAATATCTACAACTTAGGCGCAGAGGGAGCAACCGATGGATTGTAGCGACCCCCACTATTTTGATAGCTAATCAAGAAGAGCACGTTTGTTTAGTTGTATAGTGATTCACTTAATTAACAATTTTTATTCCGTTGACAGCCTCCTCTCCGCAATTGTATTGTGTTCACGAAGATCTGAAGACGCAAGTGCAACTGGTCCAGGGGTAAACAATATGTATAACGCGTTGGCCAAATTGAATTGAGTCATTCTACTTGGAATATGAAGATTTTTGCTTAATTGCTTTGGTTCGTGATGCAACTATGTTATGTTTGAAGGTAGACCAACGCAAACAACAGCACAACTCCAGGGCTATTCTGCACATTAGGTAGTTGGGGCATTAATTGATAATTATTTGGGATTATTCCTACAAGTACATAATTTGGAACGTGCCTTTATATTGCATTGATTAATAGTTGTTTGAGATTTTTCAAATGAGTGATTTGACATGTTAAACTCTCTTATTTTTGAAAATGGAGTCTTCGAAGTGGAATATGAAGATTTTGGATTAAGCTTGGTTTCGTAACGCCCTTATGGGTGTTTATTCTCTAAAATGCAGCTGTCTTTCAAAGTGCCCGTTGCAAATGGCAAGTCAGGATACAACGATGGTACCGGTACACGTTTATATCATTAGTAGGTAGCAGATTGTGTCCATTCTACTATATCATTTAGCTAAATACTTAGTTGTTCTTTTCAACTAAAAATTATGCTTAAATGCTGTGATTGGCCTCAGAAATGTATGTCTTTGCATTAACTGTTAATGATTGTGAGTTTTGGTTTAATGGTGAAAAGTCCATTTATTTAGAAGTCTAAATTGGGCAAACCTATTGGACAATAGGAATGACATACATTAGTGTCGTGGGAGGTTTGTTTGATGTCTCAGGGTGTTAGATTTTTAAGAAGGTTGTTTGTTGTGGCAGAGAGTCCCTAAAGCTAGCGAGGTATTCCTATGTGGGCTTTTTCTTTGTTTGACTTTTTCTCGCCTTTTTTCTTATCTCTTTTTCTATTTTTGGTTTTTGTGTGCTACCTTCAGTTGCTACATCTTCATTTGTGAG